TTTATTGATAAAAAAGACGCAATTTCGCCACCACCGATAGAGGGCGCTATGACGTCATAGTAACGTTGTTTATTTGTAAAATAATGCGGCAGAAGTAAAGCTAACATATCTACATGTCTGTATACCAAAAATCATCAAGATCTGAGATATTGTCAAATTTAGGTCGGAAAGTAGCGAGCTACCTTAAGAAACTCTACAGGCTAAGGGTTGATATAATTTTGCATCAATGATTTCATTTTGCAAAATTCTAAATCAAATAGGTCATTTGAAATCATTTAAAGAAAGGCTGCAAGTCTTATTATGTAGTCATGAATGACAAATCCCATAAATAATTTCATGTTCAAGCAAAACTGTTGGTTGAGACATTACAAGTTGAATTAAAAAATCTAACTTATGAACAGGAACCATATTCCTTAACAAAAATAATCATGCAGGATTTATGAAGCTTGTTCTATATGATAAGATGCTAATGTGAACCAAATGTCCCCAGTTCAAATGCAATCATGTACAATGTAATTAGAACATAGATTCCTGCAGTTCTACATTTGTTTAAGACTGTGAAAAAATAGACATAACTTATTGTTAATTTATTAAAGGTGCTATCTCATTTATTAGTAACAGTTTTTCAAATGTCCCGAAGTTCTAGTGATAACTCTGAAGATGTCACAGAGTTCTTATGATAACTTTTGTTTTTGCCAGTGTGTTTCTTGCGCTAAATCACGGCACGTTTTGGCGTTTATTATCATTCAATAAGATTGTTAATCATTTTGAAATGCTGTACGATCATCCTTTGCACAAAAATGTGGACAGAACGTTGGTCTTTAGTGTCTGCAAAGGATACATACGTGATAGGCTATCATCTACAGTAAAAATTGAACTAGCGGCCACTGATATTCAGCAGTATTATGGCTTAAACCACAAAACAAAATGTCTTAAAATGTACACGTTGTTCTCAGTTTAACATGTTTTAAGCAACCACCTTTCTTAAGCAGACAATATATAGGCATGCTTCCTTTACCTAAGGGCTAAGTAATTTGTATCATTTTAAGTATATAGCCAGGATAATTTCCACATCTATGTCTTAAAAAAGTACGATACAAGATAAAAACTCAACTGCGGTTGGCTCTAACTACCGATCTTTCGAAATAATTTGAACTGTCCCTCCAGATTCCAGATTTACCTAGAATTGGATTTCAGTTATTGTGCATGGGCATTCAAACTAGAATTCTCCAGGTGTTGCTTGTAAGTGTCGCAAGTTCTCTAATGTAACTTTAAACAACAGACAAAACTTTCAAACATATTAATCGCTGTACTATTATAACTGTACATAATAAACAAATGTTTCTCTGGCTGATGCAGTAACACAGATGCTTAACTGATAAAAAATAGACTGTATGTCTGGATGAAAATGATAAATGGCCAGAAAACTGCTAGGGGCCGGAAACTGCTAGGAAACCAGTACATTAATCTTTTTTCCAGTATACGAAATCTGCGTCAAACCAAAAAAAAATACTATGAAAGAGAAACGGGGGTAATTAATAATTTCTCTTGAACTAAAATTAACTCAAAACCAACATTATATATCCTTTTTGCGCAAAGGATGATCGTACTACATTTTATTATGGTTTACAATCTCATTAAATTAAAAAAAACGCTAAAACGTGCCGTGATTTAGTTCAAGAATTACATTGGCAATAACGAAAATTATCATAAGAACTCTGTGACATCTTCAGAGTTATCACAAGAACTCCAACATTTGAAAAATCGGGTATAAATCTGTTAGCCGGTGCTTTATATTTGCAATTTCGCATTATAATTAGGTACTAGTAGTTATGTATGGCAAGGATGAAGACCAGAAATAAACAGGTCAATACTTGTGCATTGGCAAATAATTTGGAAATTTTACTCACAACTACCAGATTTGAAGTAAGAGACGATGAAAAAAAGCCTGTGAATTAGTTTTTGACACAAATTACAGATGTAAAACATGCTTAATCATTACAGTTCAATTTAGCACCTAAACTCATTTTTGAAAGATGAAAATAACCATTTTTAACGAGTGTTTTTGTAATATATACAGATGTTTTCCGACGAACTCCGTGACAGTTATCACGAGAACTCCTGAACAAGTTATCATAAGAACTCCATCCTTCGTGTAACACTTCCTCCTCCGTGTGAATGCCGCAGGAGAAATAATACCAAACAATGATGTAACTATCCGTCCGTGTGTTATTCCATGGTTTAATTCTAATATAAGAAACTGATTCGTTCTCGAGCACGTCTCCACAAAATTGCAAAATCAAAACATACAGATTATCACATGTCAAAATTTAGAAAAAAACGGAATGAAGTAAAAAAAGAGATTAGAAAAGCAAAGTTAAACCACCACCAGAAAATGATAAACAAAATAAATGAAAACACAATAAGTAAAAAAACAGGTTTACAGCAGGTGTCAAGTGCTGTGTCATGTGTGTGGCAGCTGTAAAAAGTTGCCCCGTACTTCAGTTCAGTGTTGTCGTATTTTTCTGGTCCTTCGGGATCATTGATGCTATCACTATTAAGTGTTGAGAATTGAATACCGCTCAAGCCGTTGCTAGGAGGCGTTAGGGATGTTGCATGTATTCATTATCTCTCATGTACAGACTCAAACCGAGTCTGCATTTCTCTTGTAATTTTGTTGTGATTAATGCTTCCGAGGGATCACTTTAATTCCGGATTTTTATATAATATTATCAAGAACAATCCTCAAACTCTCTAAAACCCATAACCTACTGCTGACGTTGAAGTTTGGGGGTCAAGAAAGCAAAGTCTGACCTCATATACCAGCTATAATCATTTGCAGAGTGAATAATAGAATATCCAAAACTACAGCATTTGTTGCTGACATATTGTAAATCATGTTAAAAATAAAACAAACAAAACACCCAAAGCTTATATCTGAATTATATCACATCATATACATATCTGCCGGACACATGGTACTGTAGTGTAGACAATTTAGGTAATTTTGATACACTCATTGTCGAGCCTCAGATATAAGTATCAATACAATCAGAAATAAACAAACTAGTTTGTTAGTTAGGAGAATAACCTATAGCTGAACTGTGTCAAATATTTTGGTGCCTAGGATAACAATTATGTAATCTCTATGAAAAAAAAATGTTACAAAAGTGTCCGGTTGATGGTCTCCGACCAGTAAGCATTCATACATGATACAAATAAAAATGAAAATATTTTGGTTATCTTTTATTTTCTTGGAATTATTTCCCTTTATCCCATTTTCTGGAAACAAAATATTTAAAGTTAAGAAAAATTATATTGCAATGTAAACTTCTTTACAGAAATGTGTCCAACAACTTCATTTTGCTCTAGATTATTGCGCCATATTTGGATTAAATAGTTTGTTTCTGGCATTTATATTTTGAAAATTCTTTGACACTGAACATTATACTTTGAAGTTTTCTCTGAAAACAGAATGACATGTATGCTGGCATGTGTTTGCGCAATTCATTTACAAAAAGCAGGTGGGAATGACTTCATTTAAGGCATGAAACATACATTGGGATGTAAGGCAGGTTTTTCTAGCACAGTTGTAAAGAGTAGATAATCCTTTCTTATATGCAAGAAACTCAATGATTAAATTGACAGTCAAATATATTCTATAAAACTACACATTTGAAACATCGCTTTCCATTGGATATTTGTGATATTTATATAATTTATATACACAGCTATTGTCTATTTATAAATTAATTTCTTTTTTTCTCAAATAACGGAAGTTTGCTTTTTATAGATTTGTGATTCAGATTCTTGATAGGTTATATGACCTTATGTAAACAGTTATTTGATAATTACTTTCATATGAATATACTTTTCTGTTTAGTTGTATCAAGTTGATTTTGTAAAGTTGTAATACTTAAGCCCTTTTGGTGACTCAGGAAACAACTTTTTGTATCAAAAGGAGATGCGATTCATTAGAATAGCAATCTAATTTTGCACAAATTTATTAACAGAAAAGAAAATCAAACAATCAGTTTCTTGGCAAATTTATTTATTGTTGCAAATTCTTTTTAATGTAATATAGTTAAGTAAAAGTTAAAGAAACATTATTGACTGTAAGACTTGATAAACAAAAATAAACCAGTTGATGCTTTCAATACTGTGTAAATAACTATCTTATTACACTTAACATTAATAATATCTTCATATAGTTTTTTAGCTATTTAAGTAAACTGAAGTAGCATATCTTATAATAATAAAACCTATGTTATGTTTTATTCATGTGGGTGTTATCCCTGATAATTACATGGATATAGTGCTTACCTGTCTGTTACAATCATGCAATCTTAGTTTAATTGCTAATCACTCTAAACTGACAATTTTACTTCTTAAATGGTCTTGTTACATAATTGATAATGAGCAAAAAATATATGATAAGATGATAGTAGAGATGATAATTGTAATTAAAGCTTCATGGGATTTTTGGTTTTAAAAATTAGTGCTTTTGTTTTGGTTGAAACCTTATTGTAATTATTTCAGATAAATGGAGGAATGCTACCACCAACTCTATATATTCAAGCTGACTATTCTGCAAAGGATAACAAAAATTTATGTAGGGAGAAAAAATTGAGCCATTGCTACAGTTAAATTGTTGTTCCCATTACTTTTGCTGTTGCAGTTGCCCAGCAGAAACGATAACAATATATTTGCCTGTCTTTAAATTGTCTATATACAAAACATGTTGAACAAGATTTTCAAGTAAACTAGGTTGATCTTGACAATGACCTTCAAGGTCAAATGTTTTTTTTAATTTCTTAGATTTCTGCTGTAATAGGCTAAACATGTGTTATGCATGAAAGGATTATTGTTTTCATACTTTGACACAACAATTCTTTAAACACAACCTTCATGTTCAATATAATTTGTCCAAAACTACGAGCGAGGTTAATTTTGCGGTGATGAAAATGACAATACCCTTGGGTCTGTAAGACATTTGCGTATTTTATTTTTTTTAAATAGGTTTCGATACGCATTCTAAATGAGTATTTTATAAAATTAGTTGCATAAATATGCATGTACACGCCTTATCTGTTGCTCTGCTACAACACTAGAGATACAAACTTATTGTTTTTAACTTTTCTCTATAATTTTAGGTGAAGCTATCATTTCTAATGGTCGGGCATACTCATGAGGACATTGATCAGGTGTTTTCAAGGATAAGTTGCCACATGAAACATGTAGATGCCCCAACATTACCGGCTCTCCTACATGCAATTGGTGATTCAACAACACCTTCACCACAAGTTGTAAATCTGGAAGGCATATACAACTACAAGGCAACTTTAGAAAATGTTAGAGGAATGATTGAAGGAATATCAGGGCCTCATCAGTTCATGATAAAGAAGAAAGAGGGGAAGGTAATTCTTCACTATAAGGACTGGCCTATAGACAAGAGCTACAAAACCTTAGATATACATGAGAGAATTCCGGAAGACTTGTCTGTAGAGCCAGTTCTCATGAACCCCAAAATGAAAGAGGAGGCAAAGAAAATGGAAAACGAAATTGAAAAATGGAAAATGAGCGGCAGGCTAGGAGAGGAGGAGGTACTTTGGTGGAGGAATTATTTAAAACTGAAAGTGATGAAGCCTAATGTACCAAAGGTGAACCAGCTCCCAAAGTATAAGCCACCTGTTCAGAATCCTCATATTATCAATGAAAATGTGATACAAGCAATTCAATTAGCAGAGGAAAAGGAGAAAAAAAGATCAAATTTAAAACTGAAAGGAAGGAAAGGTGTAAAAAAAACCAGGAAGTGAATAAACTGTGTTTGATAAAAGTGGTGAAGGTTTTGGCGCTGTCTGTATGGAGTATATGACTGAAAATCTTAGAAAAAAGTGGTTTTTTATCATTTGTTTATTTGCCATTGGCACAATTAAAGAATAGAAACATGTTGTGTAAACTAAATATCAGTTAAGTAAATACTTTATCTTAGATTTTTTTGCAAAGAACATGCTATTTATTTTACAAATATTTAATTTTGGGGCCACTAAATTTGGACATGTTTTTGTTTAAACAATCAGAAGCTTAGGTAAATCTATTTATATATAGATATTGTTGAGTTTTAGTCACTGGTCATAATATGTAAAATATTTCTTGAAACGTTTGACAGAAGTATGCCCCTTTTTCGACTAAGAATTTACATTTAAAGTTTTTGTAATGCTTCAAATATTTTCAAGTCCTTTGACATATGGCTTTGAAACTTTTCACACTAGTTGACCATCATGACCCTAACCTGTAGACAGGAGGAGGTAACTGTATCAAGTATTTTGACAGAATTATGCTCCTTTTTCGACTTAGAATTTACGTTAAATGCGGCAGAAGTAAAGCTAACATATCTACATGTCTGTATACCAAAAATCATCAAGATCTGAGATATTGTCAAATTTAGATCGGAAAGTAGCGAGCTACCTTAAGTGACATGTCTGGCTTTCATATTTAAAAGTGTTTATTAACATTTTCGGGTACATTATACATCAGGATAAAAAGCTAAAGTTAGTGAGACAACAGTGTGGAGCTTGTTCAGTCTCGATAGCCTTGCTGTATTCTGCTGGCAAAGGCTAATCACTCGGTTTCAGCAGTGTAAGAGTTAAATGTTTTAGTAGGCATTATCTCGGAAAAGTTCAAGGCTCTGACAATTAAAGACATCTTACATTTTGTGTTCTTAGACTTAAAGCAGCATGCATCCAGGTGCATGCTAATTTTCATTAAAATTTTCAAAATATATTTTTAATATCATAGTATTGTGAAGTGAGTAAAGAAAGTAATTTACACACTGCAAATGGCACTTACATTCCACGTAAATAACCAAAAACAAGTCAAATATGCAAAAATAAGCCGTTCTTATAAGTCACGCTGAGGGAATATGGTGATTAATAATGTAAAATACAAAGTAACTTTTTACTTTTCTAAAATTCTAAGTACAGTTTATTTTTATGTCAATAATTTGATTAATATGCAGGCTTTAAAACTTATTGAACACTTTCTTTGATAAGCTAGTAAAGCTTATGTACAATCAAACATGACAATAGCCAATTACACTGTCCTGTGGATAATGCTAAATTACGACCAAATAATATGATCTGTTTTTAGTAATAGCTTTATAAACCAGATACTGTTCCGGCCTTCTTTTGGCAATTGTCAAAATATTTATATATATAATAAGCTCACCTGTCACAAAGTGATATGGTGAGCTTTTTTGATCGCTTTTCAACCGTCGTCCGTCCGTAAACTTTTACTTTAAACAACATCTTCTCATAAACCGCTAAGCCTGTTTCATCCAAACTTCACAGGAATGTTCCTCTGGTAGTCAACTTCAAAAATTTTCAAATAATTTAATTCCATGCAGAACTTTGGTTGCCATGGCAACCGAGAGAAAAAACTTCAAAATCTTCTTTTAAAAAACCTAACGAGCTAGAGCTTAAATATTTTGCATGAAACATCGTCTATTTAGTGTCAACAAAGTTTCTACAAATGAAAGCTCTGTGGTCAAAATTGGCCCCGCCCAGGGGAGTCATTGATTTTTCTTATTTGTATATAGTAAAATCTTAAAAGATCTTCTACTAAAAAACCCAAATAGCTAGAGCTTAGATATTAAGCATGAAACATCTCTAGTGGGTGTCTACCAAGTTTGTTCAAATAAAAGCCCTTTGGTCAAAATTGGCCCGCCCCAGGGGGTCATTGTTTTTCCCTTGTTTCCATATAGTAAAACCTTAAAAAATATTTTAAAAAAAACCTAAGAGCTAGAGCTAAGATATTTAGCATGAAACATTTTGTAATGGGTGTCTACCATTTTTGTTCAAATAAGGGCCCTGGAATTAAAATTGGCTCCGTCATAGATTTTCCATATATGTGTATAGTATGTGTATAGTAAAAAATTAAAAAATCTTCTTTTAAAAACTCCAACGAGCTAGAGTTTAGATACTTAGCATGAACTATCTGCTAGTAAGTGTCTTCAAAGTTTGTTCAAATAAAAGCTCTGGGGACAAAATTGGCCCCGCCCAGAGGGGGGGGGGTCATTGGGTTTCCCTATATGTGAATAGTAAAACTAAAAATCTTCTATGAGCTAGAGCTTAGATATTTATCATGAAACATCTTCAAATGGGTGTCTATCAAGTTCAAATAAAAGCCCCTGGGTAAAAATTGGGCCCGCCAAGGGGGCCTTTATACAGATGAGCGTCTTCAGGGCCATCATGGCCCCCTTGTTTTTTTTTCGTGTGAATGATTTTCTATGTCATTATTTGAGAAATTATTAACAAGATAGCTTGCTTGCATGCTTGCTGATAAAGCTTAGAAAACCCTAAACAGTTTAAAAGAACTGGAGGTTTTTGTTTATTTGTTTACAAGTAGATCATGTACATGGAATTTATATATCTTTAGTGTCTAAGTTTCTTCTGATTATATTCGTAGTAATGCTGGTCACATGACTATTATGGTTTAATTAAAAACTAATTTGAAAGAAATTTGTTAAATTATTACCATTGATTTACCAAAAATAAGATAATAATCTGTAGGCTCTTGCTTTGATTGAATGCGTATTTAGTAAACATTGTATAATGTAACAATGTGAATGGGTATCATGATTTCACTGAAACATGTAACAATATGACTGGATATCTGACTCAGAAAGATTAGTATTAAACCAGTGCTGAAGGCACAAATTGTACTTTAAAACCTGAAATATCCAAACTACTTGCCTACCTAATAGCTAGCTTTATATATATATATAAGATATGCAAGTGTATCTATCTATCCGTCATGCGGTCGTATTTCAACATATATATTTTTTTTACCGATACTATGTAGAGTTTTACTTTTTGACATTTGTGAGATAAAACGATGTTATTAAACCCCCACCACAAAATGTGGGGGGGGGGGGGCTAGAATGGATTCGCTTTGTCGCGTCGGTCGGTCGGTCGGTCCGTCTCCATTTTCGTGTCCGCTCTATAGATCCTATACCAAATGAAGGATTTTCTTCAAACTTGGCTCAAATGTTCACCTCAACAAGGGGGTGTGCAGAACCCTTATTGCCTATGTGTCAGCTCAAGTTCAAGGTGACAATTGAAGGTCAAATATCAAACACAATCAAATATAAGACAGTATGTAGTGTCCGCTCTGTAAGTCCTTCACTTATTAAAAGATTTTCTTCAAACGTGGCTCAAATGTTCACCTCAACAAGGGAATGTGCAGAATCCATGTTGCCTATGTGTCAGCTCAAGGTCAAGGTCACAATTAAAGGTCAAATATCAAACAATCAAAGATTACACAAAATTTCGTGTTCACTCTGTAAGTCCTACACTAATTGAAAGATTGTCTTCAATCTTGGCTCAAATGTTCACCTCAACAAGGTTATGTGCAGAACCCATGTCACCCTTTTGCCGGCTTAAGGTCAATGTCACACTTGAAGGTCAAAAATTGACTTAGAAAATATTCTTCAATTTTAACATGTAATTTGAATATTTCTGAAACTAGAAAAGGTATTTGCTAGAAACTTAAAGTATATATGAAGTGTCACAATTAAGATATGCTGGTCAAGTTTCATTACTCTGTATTGTATTTTAGCAAAGTTATACCCCTTTTGAAGTCTTCAAATATACATACAATCAAATATTAGACAATATATTGTGATCACACTATAAATCCTATAGTAATGAAAGACTTTTCTTCAAACTTTACTCAAATGTTTACCTCAACAAGGTTATGTGCATAATCAATGTCACCTTTGTGGCGGCTAAAGGTCAATATCACACTGGAAGGTCAAAAACTTAGAAAATGTTCTTACATTTTCGCATATACTTGAATATTTCTGAAACTAGGAAAGGTATTTGCTTGAAACTTATATGAGGTGTCACAAATAAGATATGCAGGTCAAGTTTCATTACTCTGTATTGCATTCTGACAAAGTTATGCTCCTTTTTAAGTCTTCAAATTTACATACAAAAAGTTTTTACAAAAATTTTATAAATAATATGCTAAATGCATGGATTAAAATAAAAAGTACATGCTTAACAAAAATTATCTCTTATAAAGACATTATTTGGAATAATTCGGATATAAAAATAGATGGTAAACTTGTATTTTATGAAAATTGGTTTATTAAAGGAATAAAATTCGTACAACACTTATATGATTACAGAACAGGAAAGTTTTATAATTTCGAAGAATTTAAATATTTGTATGGCACCAATTATACAGATTTCTTAAACTATTATAATTATGCTTATTGGAAATATACCTGACACTCTTATCAACAAGTTGAAAAATGCTGAAATAAACACTGTTTCCTTGCAACCTTTTATACAAAATGTTATACAATCCAAATCTGTGAATAAACTTTTATATGATATGCAAATGAAAAACGGAAAATGTCAAGGGAAAAAAGTAATGAACCTAAATGGGAAGAAAATATACAAAAGCATATTGACTGGAAAAAAGATGTATCAACTGCCTTTTAAGAGCACACTAGATGTCACATTAAGACATTTCAAGTTTAAATTCTTTCATAGATTTATACCGACTAATACTTTTCTCTTCAAATGCAAACTGTCTGACACAAATTTGTGCGATTTGTGTCATAATAGCATTGAAAATTTTGACCATCTCTTCTGGGAATGTACGAAAATACAAAATATTTTGTCAAAGCTACACACACGGCTAAACTCAATTGGAATTATGTTTAATATTTTGAAAGAAATATTATTCTTTGGAGAACTTAAAATTAATCTGCATAGTAACATAATTAATTTCATTCTCATGAAATATTACATTTTAAGACAAAATATCAAAAATATACACCAAGTTTTGAAATATTTAGAAAAATGTTATACAGTAGAATACAAGTAGAAGAACAAATTGCTTTATCTAAAGATAAATTGTAAACGCTTAAGACTAAATGGAATATCCTCTTTAATATAAGAATTGTCGATTGAATCAAGAGTAAAACAATGCCAAAACAATATTTATTAAGAAAACTAATAAGATTTGTAATAATGACTATAAAAAAGGGACA